AATCGTGTTTCTCCAAGGGCGTGGCCGGACTGGGTTAACTCTCCGCCCCCGTAGGGAGGGGAAGGGGGCCGCAGCACCTCCGTTTTTCTGATTGAAGGCGGTGCTCCTGAGCATGTGCAGAGGGCGGCGGGCTGTAGGAAGGGAACGGGCTTTTTCTGAGCATTTCTATGGGAACCTTCATTGGGAGGGTCAGAACAGAAATGAAAACAAAACCCTCACGATTGTTTAAATACTATTTTAATTTAGTGTATTAATTTTTTTAAGAGGTAAAAGCAAATATTTACCTTTTGCCCGTTGGAACTTCAAAGCACGGGGTGACCGCGTTGCAAAAGCAGGTAAGAAATCTATTTCTTCGCTGGCAGGGGCCAGAATTCCCCCTTGCCACCGGGCATCCATGATGAGGATTCATTCATTCTAATCAAACTATGCAACTGGGAGAATTATTTTTCTAATTTTTTAAAAATAAGAAATAAATGCATTATTTTTGATATCCAGCCACCCAAACACGTCCAGTGGCTCTTGGAGGGGAAAAGCACTCTTCACATATTTATGAGCCTCAGTAATTTTATTTATTTATTTATTTAGAGAGGGAAGCCATAGGCACCAATCCTGTATCCTTTTCCTCCAGGCCCGGAAGCGCGAAGAGCGTTCCCCCTCTGCTGTCAGAGAGAGGGAAAAACAGCCTGAGAGGATTCAGACTTTTCCAGGCATTAAATCTTCATTTTCCTCACACCTCTCTCTCTTGTCACAACTAAGGAGCTGGGTTTCTGAGCTCCCTGCCCAGTGTCTCTCGCTCAGACCCTTATTTTCTCTTGGAAAGCTATTCTGTAATTTTTAAGTTGTCTTCCCACCTCCGCAGGTCCCCAAAACAAGCTCATGGCTTCTTTCCACCTCATTTTATCACCGACACCCCTGTGAGGTCGGCCAGGCTGATTGCGTTTAACTGACCTGGTAAAAAAACCCTCAGTTTCTGGGCTGGACATGGATTTGAACCCAGGTCTCTCAACGTCCACCTGCCTCCATCTGCTAAGCGAGAGGGGCTCACTCAAGCTTACAAACCGCTTCAAGGCATTTTTGGACTACACCTCCCATCACTGCTTTTCTTGTTAAGGGGCTGATGGGGCTTGTAGTTAGTGAGACTCACAAATAAATAGACAATACAAGTAGTATGTTTTGTGGACTGGGGGAGAAGGTGGAAGAGACACGAGGCAGAGTTGAGGAGGAGGAAGAGCAAGGAGGAGGAAAAACGGAGAGCAAGTGGCTGTCAGCGATTCAGATATTTATTTAAGACTCTTTCCAGCAAAAAAGCAGAATTGAGGCATAGAAAACACATTCCAGATCAAACAGGTGCTGCAAGTTATTTTTTCTATTGGTACAACAGATTCACAAGGATTTTTAAGATTCTTGAGCCCAGTTTCCTACCTGAAAAATCACCCTGCCTTGATTTCGCCGGACCCACAACCCCACCACCCGATTGCCTAGAAAGGTGACAGTCTTTTTTTATTCCCCCCCACTATGTGCTTTCTCCACCAACACCTTATGGGGTCTCCCCCCCCTTCAATGGACCCATGATTTCTGGCTATTTCCGTCCACGCGATCCCAAATCTCTGCCTCTCCCCATCAAAACCACTGCTCACCTTTTCAATTGTGCAAAAGTGCCCATGTCTGCACGCCTCCATGGGTTCGGCTGTCGTGGACACAGAAAGGGGTGAGGTGGGATTAAAACCGGGGGGACCCAACCAAGCGTCTCCCAGAAAGACTCCCCAGAGGTGGGACTTCATTATGAGCGTAAGATCATCATCAATGCAGGTAAAGCTCAGACAGCGACCGAAGCTGCGCAGGTCTCCGTCTACGGGTGTGCAACGTTGGACTCCATGTGCTGTTTCTTGTGTAAACAGGGCTGTGCTCCCCAGAAGTGCAAGGGGGGAAAATGTACCACGGATCCGGTCTGTCCCGTCCCTTTTTCCAGGCCTGCTCTCGGGACTCCCCCTTTCCCGGCATCAATTTTGGGACAAAATGAGAGGCCACCAGCAGTCGGAACCAACTTTGGAAAACAGCCACGCATGCCCACACCCCAAAAATTGGACACTCGTGGTGGAGAAACACACAGACAATGAATCCCCCAAAGATGGCCGAGTGAGGCAGATTCTCAGGGTCCCGCCGTTCTGGCACACGTCCAGTGTTGACCGAGAGATGTCCACCTGTGGCTTTACGGGGTGCAGAGAGAGAAAGAGGTCACATCCACACAATGGAGGAAACAATAAAATATCGGCTGACATGCAGAGGACGAGTCAAACTGGCTCACAAAGCCGTCCGAGCCCAGAAACACAAAACTTGGTGGCCACATGTGTGGTTCCCCCCCCCTCGCTTTGGGTATGCCACAACCACACCTTGTGCCGTGCAAGGGTGTTGAGTTTGTGTGCATCTCTGTTCACCCACGAAGGAACAATATTCTCCACCGGTCAATTTCCGAAGAAGCCAGGGGTGTGTGAAAAAAAGTACACAAGTTTTTGCTGAACATCGCAAGTTCTTTCCAGCTTCCAGAGAGGCAGAAATTGGCCCAAGGTGCAAAAGAAACTACAACCCACAAGCGAGCGGATCCCGACCAGATGCCCAAAGGAGCCCAGGAGAGATCAAGAAAAATACAGAGACAGGAAGGTGATCGAGGATCTAAAAAGAGCTGGAAACGAGGAAAGGAAACATAAAGAGAGATAAATATCTCTCTGGCTAGGTTCGTGGAGGTGCCCTTTATTGAAACCTCGTTTATCAAAGGGGTGAAAAAGACGCTTCTCTCTGGAACAGGAAGATCCGTAGACAAACGGGGTTCCCGTCAGCCCTGGGCAGCCACGGGGTGCCAAGTCTGGATGTTCGAAATAAGAGCCAGCCCGGAGGGTCGCCGGTTCCGTCGCTTGTAGGAGTTTGTGGGGGCCCGGTGGTGGAGGTCCGTGGGGGTGGGGGGGAACGCTTCATGTTTCTGAGTACATCTGAGCAATCTGGTGCTGATACATCTCGAGGACCACCGGCCGCTTCAGCTTCATCGTGGGGCCTGCGGAGAAAAACCAACCACGGTGTAAAGAAAGCTTTGGGATCTCAGCCGAAAGGGGGGCAGCTCCAGATTTAAGGGGCACCCGCTCACCTAGCTCTCCGCTGGTGATGGAGAAATCTTTGTCCAGAAGGACCCACTTCTGAATCTTCTGGGCGTTGGAGGTGGCCCGCTCGTTGACCGCATTGACCCCCTTCTGGATGGCGGCATAGACGGCCGTGTCGCGGGTGCGGATGATGTCGGAAACTTTGTTGGCTTGGCTGCCCACCTTGCGACAAAATTCGATGACGTCCGGGGCGAGATCATCCTCAGGCTCGCCCGAGTCCGGGTTCACCTTGCACTGCAGGGGGAAGAGGGCTCAGTGTATTCCACACCCCTGTAATCTGATTTACGATGACCATTTTTTGAAAAAAGACAAGGGCGCGGTGAAAGATCCGGCCATGTGAATAGCCCCACAACATGGGAATAAACATTTTTTTTCAATTGTCTGCCTCTTCCCAAAAGTGGATGTAAGGCTATCGAATCCACCCCAGAAAGGGATTTTTGAAAACAGTGCTGGCCCTTTTAGAAGCTCCACTTCTTATTTCGTCCTCTGAGCTGGAAAGTAAACTCACGAGGAACTAAATACCAATTCCTGTTTTTCCCCAGCAATGAACTTCAAGAGCCTGGATCTGGTTTCAACTGAAGGAGTTCTACGGAACGAAAGAGATTTCTAACCCAGCTGACTGACTAGTTTAGCAAGCTAGGAAATAATTCGGTTTGGGGGGGATGTTGCAGTTTCCTATTTCAGCGGCTCAAAGGCCCAGGACGGTTATTTCCACTTTTTTCTTTCCTTAAGTTAAAGATAAGTGTCCGATCATCTTGGAGAATTTCAAACCATTGATAGAGGGAAGAAATCAAACTTCTCGGGAACAAAATGTCTTGACTTGTTAAAATCCAGAAACAGAACGGTTGAATGTTCGGCACAGGGTGACTGTCGTTGGCCGAATCTGCCCCCCCCGACCCTAATCTTTAGATCTATTGCATTTTGAGGTATCTGGAGGGAAGGGGGCCACCCGTGGCCCACAATGCCACAACACCCACTGAGAAAAACAGTGTGGAGCAGACACTCTCCCTGGCTTTGGCGAAGGATGGGGCCCACCCTGGTGGTTCAAAGTCCATCGGTAGGGGGGCCAACGAATTTGGGGGCGGAAGGCTTACCTTTAGGGTCATGAGCATGCTCAAAAACTTGGCTCTGTCCCCCACCAGCATGACGTTGCTGAGGATGGGGACCGCTTCCTTCACCGCATCCTCAATCGGGACCGGGGGAATGTTCTCTCCACCAGCGGTAATGATCAGCTCTGGAACAAGGAGGCACAAATCAAAACCAACAACAAAACACCCACTTCTGGTTTAGGAAACACGAGGCCGGGACGCAGGAGCAAGAAAGGGGGTCTGTGATTTCTAGTGATCCCCGAGACGCGTGAATGAACCGTGCCTGGAAAAAGAAAGGGCAAGGGGACCAAGGGGGAAGCCCCCCGCCCCCGGGTACCTTTGATTCTCCCTGTGATGTAAAGGAATCCGTCGGCATCGTGCTTGCCCAGATCCCCCGAATGCAGCCAGCCTTCGTCATCAATGGCCTCTTTGGTTTTGTCTTCCATGTTTAGGTAGCCCATGAAAACGTGCCGCCCGAAGAAGCAAACCTCGCCGACACCATCAGGGTCCGGACGGTAGAGCATGGTTTTGCAGCCGGTGATTTCCTTCCCGCAACTGGGAGGATAAAAAGGAACAGAGGTTTTTGAGAGACACACACACACACACACGGAAGGGTTATCGAGTTTTTATTGGGCGTCAGCTTCCGGGGGCAGCTCTTTGGAGACATGGGACTCAACCTTTTTAAGGGGTCACCCATCCCCAATGAAGTCACGCTTTGCAAAATCGCAGAGAAAACAAGTTAGCAAGCCTGGCCCTGGCGCTTCCTTAAGCCACCGGCGGAATACAACTCCCATCATCAGGCAACAGCACCAGCAGAATGGGAGGAGGGGTCCGTGCGACCTTTGGAACAGGACATCAGCTTCCCCTGCGTCGTGAGGACTAGAAACCTCACAAAATTGACAACTTTTCTGGACACGGAATCCAAGACACGGCTGGAGGGGGGCTCCTCCCGGGGGCTTGGGGGTCCTGTCCCCCCCTCCCAACCACCCACCCACCTGGTCAACCGATGGGCCTTCGGGTGCGAAACCGTGTGGGGCCCCGAGCTCTCGCTCATGCCGTAGAGTTCGTAAATGGGAATGTCCAGGCTCAGAAAGTACTCCAGAGTGTCTCTGGTGATGGGAGCAGCCCCCGTGTAACATTTGCTGCAGCGGTCCAGCCCCAGCGCCTTCTGGACTTTTTTATACACCAGCGAGCGGGCCAGTCGGTAGTTGAACGGGAGGTCAGTGGACCTGTGGAGAAGACGGGTAGGCACGTTAGGTGGAAGAATTCCCCGGAGGGGGAACAACCCACACACACACTTAAGAGGTTATGGCTGGGGATGCCCCCAAGTAGCAAGTCGGGTCCCTTCTTTCTTCGTGGGCAGAAACATGTCTTTAAAGCCAGCGCGCCCCAGGCTCACCCTTTCAGGCGCTTCATGTTGGTCTCCAGCCCCACCACCTTGGCCCAGGTGCCGATCCGGCGCTTCAGGGCCGAGGATTTGGCCCCCACCGCCTTCATCCGCTCCTGCATCTTCTCCCAGACCCGGGGGACCCCCATGAAGGCTGTCGGCCTCACCTCCCTCATGGTCTCCACCAGAGAACCCTAGCAGAAGAGAGAGGGAAAGGGGGAAAAATCCCAATTAAACCCAGAGGAGCCCCATTAAAACCCGGAGGAGGAAGAGAGTTTGGGGAAGCAGGAGGAGCCGAGTTCGGTTCCCAACCGATCCAGGAAAAAAACAAACACGCAAGGCTGGAACCCAAAGGAGAGAGAGAGACACACACAATATCGACCAGGATCAAACCCTGAGGACCAGACTCTTTATAGTACAAGTGACATACGGGTGCTAAATACCAATGTTTTAGTTCTGAGCTTCTTCTAGTCCGGTTGGAGAGACACCCCCATAAAAATCTGAAATCAGGGTAAGCCATCGCTGCCGGAACCTAGCTGGCCAGAGGGGGTCATGACGGTTCTGGCAACTTTGAAAATAACGTCCGAGCTTAAGCAGCTCAGGTCTTACATAGCAGCTTCAGGGGAAAATTCCATTTTACTCAATGGAAAAGGAATAAAAATATTAACAACTTCCGAGCTCACTCTTTAAACTTGGAAAAGGTCCCCGGGGAATTAGAGATGGGGCGGAGGAGGTCCCCCCCCCACTGAGCCACGAAGCCATGAGCAAAAATCCGTATGAATGCGCTAGTGTTATTCCCGCCGTGGCCAGCGGGTAGATCGACAGCCGAAAGGTCCCTCAATATTACCTTGAGGGCGTCGGGCTGCGCGAAGCAGGTCTGGACCCCGAAAGTGATGGGCAGCCAAATGTCAATCATCTGGGCGGCCACGTGGCTGAGGGGCAGGTAGCTGACCACCACTTCCTGCCGCTCTGTGGCCTTCGAGAGACCGACAAACTCCCCCCCGGCCCGAGCCGTCCACGTGATCTGAAAGGCCGAAAGCGAGAAATCGGGGGAGAAAATATTATTTGGGGAAGAAAGAACCGGGCCAGCATCCAGGGTTGGATTTTCTTGGGTTTTGTTGTTGTTGTTGTTTTGAGGGTGGCTGAAAAAAAGTGGCGGCTTACGTTGTCGTGGCTCAGCATAACCCCTTTGGGTTTCCCGGTGGTCCCGGAGGTGTAGATGAGCGTACAGCACTGATTCGGTTTCTGGGACTGAATGATCTGATCCAGGTGATCATCCGGGACTTGGCTTCCCAACGCCATGAATTCATTCCACTGGGAAAGATTAGAAAAAGAGGAAGGGGGTGATGGAGATGCCCGGCGCTGAACCGCTGCTTCCCCGCCTGGCCCGACCTCGCAGGGTCGTTAGGAGGATGAAAAAAAGGAGGTTAGCAAAACACACATTTTGGAGTTTTGCTGGGGAGAAAGTGGGAATAAAAAGAGAGAGGGAGGTGGCGCCAAATTGTGGCATCTTTTCAGGTTTCTAGACCTCATGGGTCGCCAAGAAAAGGTGCCACAGGAGAGCAAGAGGGTTCAAACCGTTTATGAATGGACAGGAAGGTAACCCCTTCCCTCGGACCCCGAAATACCTCAATATATTGGGAAAGTCCCTAAGAGAGCTAAGCTGAAAAAGGAATAAAAATTTTTAAAGGGTGCTCACCGAGTAGAGCTTGGGCCTTTTCTCTTTGACTTCTTCTCCATATAAGATGATGGCTTTCAGGAGCGGAAGCTTGCTTTCGATCTGGAGCAGAAAGCAGGGAGAGAGAGAGAAAAAAGAAGGGGAATAAGAAGTTTTTGCAAAAAAACTTAACCATCTATCTACCTCCTCGCTCCATTCGGTGGAAGATGTTTAGAAAAAGTTCAACCACGTGGCTGGCCCAGTGGATCCAAAACCAGCAGCCTGGAGCATCTCTGGTGCTAGACTCAAAAAACAAACAAAAAACCTGTTCCATCTGAATCCATACACCCCAAAGCCGTGAGAAAGGACACCCTCTTTTCCAAGCCTGTCCCGATGGGCAGAATTATTCCAGCCGCCCTCAGGGTTTTGGCCAAGGACGGACTCCGTGCCAGAGGCATTCCCTTCCGTTCCTCACCTCCAAGATTTTCTGGAGCTGTTTATCATTTTCCACCACAATGACATTGGCGCTGCAGTTCTCTGCCACATACTGGCATGCCTCCGGGGAGTTGGTGGTGTAGATGCCGACAGCGAAACCCCTGAAGTCACAAGAAGGGGGGAAAATGGGGTCACACCGTGGGAAAACCTCTTCCCCCCCCTTCGGCCACTTCCTGTCTACCTATTTATTTAAGAACACCTTGGTGTCTGATTTTAAAAAGACGTGGGCAAAGAGAGCTAAGCCGATGGATTTGCACAGGGGACCTTGGAATCCGGCGCCCTCGGATGGATTTCACCTGACTCACAACAAAAGGGAGAAAAAGACGTGATCTGTGTGTTTAAGGTCTGTGTCGTTCTGCAGATTCCGGACACTTAAAACCGAAGGGTTCCCGTGGCCCCTTGAGCGAGGGAGCCTCAGATTTTTCCTTTTCTGTCCGCCGACCGGCAAAAAACAAGCCGGTTCGGCCCTGTTTGGGGAGTATTGGGGAGGATTTTTCCTTCTTTCTCAACCCTCCCCCCCTTGAGTCTGGGATCTCCCCGGAAAAGACCCACGTACCCAGCCAGGATGGCCCCGATGTCCGAGATGAACCACTCCGCCGAGTTGAAGCCCAAAATGCACACGCCGTGAAAACGCTCCAGACCCAGCTGCGGAAAAGAAGGGCCAGAAGAAATGAAACCCCCCTAGTCGTCTCCAGACTCAGGCCTCCATTGCTCTGTGGCCAAATTGGTGCCCTCGGGGATTGTTTGGTTGGGTAACCCTTCTTTTGGGGGCCTCCGGTTCCCCTCGCCCGCCACGGACCTTTAAGAAGCTCTTGGCCGCCACCCGGCACTCCTCGTAGTATTGCTTGAAGGTCAGCCGTGTCCAGCGGCCGCGCTTCTTGGACGCCAGGGCAAAGTAGTCTCCGTACTGTTCCACCGCCTTCAGGAAGAGTTCGTGCACCGTGATGGGGGGCTCGCACCCGACCCCGCTCTGGTCCAGGCGCAGCTTGACCTCGCCGTCTCGCTTGGTGGTCCAGAGTCCCGAAGACGGGGCGGCCACCGCTGGACGCCCATGAAAGGGGAAGAGGAGGAAGGAAAAAAACCCACACACATTTCGGTCATGTCTTTTAAAGTCACACCGGTCGCTACCTTCATCGATGCACCTAGAAATATGTTTGGGGTGTCGCCGCTCAGGTCTTGCAAAGCTTCTATCTGTCTGTCTCTCTCTCTCTCTGGGGTGATGCACTGAGATCTTGCAAAGTCAAAAACCATGGCTTCTTTTATTGCATTGATCTATCTCACATGCACTTATAAATACACCTGCTGGCCTATCTGTAAGTATTTGGGGTGATCCAGCTCAGGTCTTGTAAAGCTTCTCTTTTTCTATGCATATACGTATGAGTGTGAGAGAGATAAGTGTGTATTATCAGTCAATCTATCAAAGGCAGGTGTATTAGCTTTAGTCTCTGGAAAGCCCTAGCTCGTTAGGGAGAATTAGGTGAGACACCTTTAAGATTTGGGGGAGAATGTCTAGCCTTTCCAGATGTGGGTCCACGATCACTCATCATCCCCCACCATTAGAGAGGCTGGGTCAAAACAAACGTCCCCAGCGTGGCCTACCTAACAAGGCTGTTAGGAAGACGGGGAGGGGGAATGTTCATTTAAATTCGTTCATTTAAAGCCTCCACCCCGAGAAGCCACCTACCGAGCCGAGTCCTACCTCTGGATCGGAACATCTCTGGGCCGGAGTTCTTGGTTTTCCCCGGGGTCTCCGCCTGGTGGTTTTCGACACTGCAGAAAGAAGTGAGAGAGACAGAGAGAGATGGCAGCTTTTGTGTTGACTCAGAAAAGATGAAACACGTGTCTTCTTGACCCATCGGCCATTCGAGGTGGGGAGGTGCTTCTCACCTTTCCCTCCCGCCTGATTAAAAAAGATTTCCAGATGCAGGATTGATGGCACCGCTAGCCGCGGATTAAAGGCCACCCTTCGCAAACGAAGGATTAGATTTTTCTTGTTGAGCTCTCTAATACGGGGGTGGTGGAGAGAGGGAGCTGACGTTTCTCCCTCCACCCCTTGCGGGAAGCAACACACAACGAAGGATACTCATCCTGGCAGAGTAGAGAAGCTAATGCCCCTCTGGGTTTTGTGTGTGTGGTGGGTTTTTTTTTTGGGAGGGGGATGATGCCGCCCAAGTCTTGCAAAGCTGCTATGCAAGACCTGAGTTGCCATTTCCCAAGTACTGCATTTTGCATGGCTAAAAACTCAGGGAAAGGCAAAGGAGGAGCTAACCCTGCCCTCCCCGTGTTTCAATCCCTGAAACTTGGCTTGGCAGCTACCGTCACTTTGCGCGGGGCGAATCCCAGAGATTGTTTCATGCGTCAAAAGGTCTTCTTTCTCCCTTGACAAACGGGCATGGCGGTTCAGCGCTGGGAAGGGAGTGCCGTGGGGCGAGATGTTTCTTCCCGGCTCGTCCCCCCTGTCCGTGGGCAGGCCCTGGTTTTTAAAAAGCCATGCCCCCTCCTTCTTCCCCGGGCCCACGGCACCCCAAACAGGAGGGTGGTGACTCCGCAGGGGTGGCCCTCCCACTGATGGGGTGGCCCAAGAGGAGGGCTGTGTTCTAGAACCCGAGGCTGGCTTGTGACCTCGCCCGGGTTCCACCTTCCCCGGCCCCCGCCTCAAAGGAGGAAGCTGAAACCGGGGCCCAGAATCCGTCAAAGGGGAAAAAAGAAAAGAAAAAACACAATGAAAATCCAGTTTATTGGGTCACGTTGCAGGAATACCCAGTGGGTAAGGGAAAAGACAGAGGCGCGGAAGGGAACCCACCTGGCAAGAGCAGTCACCGATATCTTATCCAGCGAGATCTCGCACAGTTCCTGCAGGGGAGCTGGCACGAGGGGCTCGGGGACGGGAGAACTCACCAGCACAGCCGGGCTAGCCATCGGATTCTGCCGGTCGCTGGAAAAAACAAGAGCCGTCCTTTCTGAGAAAGAGCTAGTTTGAGACGGGAGGAGGGCTTACGGGGAGAGGAGGGTTACGGGGACAGCCTGATAGCACTCTTCAAAAGGTCCCTGTAGAACGGGGCCAGACTGGTTGATCTAGAGGGCCGGACTAGGTAGGAATGGCGGATTTAAAAATCTTCCCGGCAGCGAGAGCCTGTGGAGCAGAATCACCTCGGAGGCAACAGGTTCTCTCCCTTGCGAGGGGATAAAATCAAGCTGGAAAAACCTGCTTGGGGGTGCTGTAGGTGACTCTGGGAAGGGGGTTGGTCTAGATGACCTCGAGGGTCCCATCCAACTCCTCTGACTATGGAGATGGGTCATTTTTGCCTATCCATATTATTGCCCCAGGGATTTATCTCTTATAGGATCAGGCAACTACTCATACAGTTCACAACCCTAGAATGGCAGGGGGAGAGGAGCAGACCCATGAAATTCTGGGCCAGAACATTAAGTGGGACCCACAAATACACAAACATACAGTCAAGAGTTGCACAACACTGCCACTGTACTTAATTTTGGTATGGGACACCAAAATTAAGTACAGAAAAAAACCACGGAAGCACTTTTCCCTCTGCATCCCAGGCAGGAAAATATAAAACAACTCGCAATTTACTTTTCCTCTTACCACTCTGAGAACTGGCTTCATCTCACCTTGGGGCCCTCCAAAAGGGCTGGCGGACTACAGCTCCCAGGACTTCCGCCTCCTCAGCCTAGTGGGCTGGGGCTGATGGGATCTGGAGTCCAGGAGCCTCAAAGGTAGGGACCCACTCCCCACATGCATGCACATCCACACGCGCAGTGAGTGTTCCTCTAAAGGGCTTTGAAACAGACGCAGAGGAAGGCTCTCCCTTCTGGGCCACTCCTGTCCCATAAAGCAGGCATGTGCTGACCCACTTCCGACCGTTTTAATCTGCCGCTTGCAAAAGCAGGACCGCCCTGCGCCTCTCCTCCGCCTCGGAGAAACATGATCACCCCACACGTCTCTCGGCCTGTCCCGTGCGCGCACGAGGCTCCTTCTTCTTCCTTCCAACCCCTTCCTCTCCATCTGCCTCAATGCTTCCCATGATCTCACTGGGCACGCATGGGTTTGGCTGCATGAACGACAGCTGCAGGAAATGCCGGCCGCTTCCCCCTGTGCGTGTGCTCTCCCCCCCCATCTCATTTCCTCTGCAAAGACCGGCCGCAAAAGATATCAAAAAAAAAAAAAGGGGGGGGGGGGGGGTAAAAGCAGATACAGAGAGAGAGGAAATCCCCAGGCATCAAGATTTTGCATGAAAGACACTAAGCCCCTTAACCCTTGCAAAAGGGCCGTTAGGACTCCAGATCCCATCAGTCCCAGACAGCATGGGTTAGGGATGGTGGGAGTTGTAGTCACATCTAATACTTAGGGGGACTTGCGCTTCCTCTTCCCTCTGCTCTCTCCTTCCTCGGGAATAAGCCCTGCTGAACCAAAAGGATTTCCTTCCGATAAGGAAAGTCTCTTGCCCGTAAATTAGGTCATTGAGAATCTCCCCGCTCATGAGGCGGAAGGTTCCTCTAACTCTTCATATATATGACTTTCCATCCTTGTTTGATGGCTGGATTCTCCCTCCTGCCTATTCAAACCAGTAATTCGCTGCCTCCATTTTCCTTTTCTCTCTCTCTCTCTCTCTCTCTCTCCAGCTACTGTCCAGATACACTGCCCCTGCCTGGGGAGGTTCTATGAAACAGCCCTGGGAAAGGAGCCCTCTCCAGAGGGCAAGGCCTCCCAAATCTGCCCAGCCCATTGAACCAACCGGCAGCAGAAGGGGACTGGGGGGGACGCGAAAATTCTGGGAGGTGTAGCAGGAACATGGGAGCTGGAGTCACCCAAGGGACATCCCCGAGGCTGGAGCCGGTTGTACGAGACACGATGAGGACGAGGTGAAAGGTTAACCCCGAGGCGCCGAGCTTAAGGCAATCGTGAGCAAACAGCTTATCTTTGCAGCCCCCAATTTGGGGGAAGAATGCACTACGGTGACTTTGCTCTGGGTTCGGATTCCCCTGACCCCATGGCCGGGGAGGAGGTGGTGTCAACACCCTGAGGCAACACCCTTCCCCTTCGCTTGGCCAACATCCAGAGGCCAATATTTTGATTGACTTTTTTTTTAAAGGGCAAGACTTCGGACCAGCTCCGGGACGGACTTGCCCTCTTGCCCGGGACTCGCACCCAGCACGGCCAGCCAGCAGGTCCGTGGACGTCTCCATTTGGACCCTCCTTTCCTCGTGGCCAGTCCTGATCTTAAGACCCAAGCCTTTGGGGATCTTTTTTTTTACCCTCCCTTCCAAATATTTATATATATTGGCCAAATATTTATACATATTTATATATTCCCCTGCCTATCTATACATTTTTTCCCCCTGGCAGGGGCTGCTACTCTCCTCCTCCTCCTGGAGGAAGGTTACAAGGTGGAGCATCATCATCACACTAGCTTGCTCAAGAGGAGGAGGGACAGATCTGGCTGCACCTGCTCCCAGGCACCGCCCCAGAATCACCCAAGCCAGTCTCCGCCAATGGGCGAGCCACCAAGCGTCGTCCTGGCATCCTTTGCACGCAGGGCCGGTCCCCAGATGACGCGCCCGCCCGCGGGGCTGGCCATGGGGTTACTGGAGGGCATGGAGCGCCTCGGGCCCTCCCCTTTGGTCGGCCACCAACACACAAACAAAGAGGAGGGGAGGGAAGGGAAAAAGCACCCACGTGGAGCCACAGAAGGAATACGTGGCCACCCGGGATCACCAGGGGTGCAAAGCCTGCCTCCGGATCCCCGAATCCCCCCCATCTCTCTCTCTCTCTCTGCACCAAAATAAATAAATCAGCGTGGCTGCAAACGTTCGACACCCTCTCCAGTTTGCAAAAAGTCACCTTTCTTTGTTCTCAGACTACGACAGGGAGAGCATTCTGGGACACGGAGTACCCCCTTCACCAAAATAAAAATTATTTTTAATTGTCAAATTCCTTATCTCAACCATCTCTCTCTCTCTCTCTCCTGGTTCATCATCCACCCTCCATGCTCTTTGTATACAATCTTTGACCGGCAGCTCACGGCTCTCCAAACCACAGCCCGCCGGGGGCTTTCCTCGGTCAGTGACCGTTCCCCCCCCCGCACGTGGTTATTTGCACAAGGAAGCGCCCAGACAGGAAGCAGATCCAACGTCCCATCTGTGTTTGTCTTAGAAAAGCCCCAAACAAGCAGCTGTGGCTAAAAATAAAATCAATACAGTATTGAATTTCTTCCCCTGCTCAAGAACCAGCCGTTTCTTCTCCCCAGAGGTGCTTTTGAGGGAGTTTTAAAATTTGCCCCCCCCATATCATCTGTTCAATGGGACGGAGCAAAAAAATAAAATAAAAATTAGAGTTGTGACCTCATGGGATCAAGGTGATAATCGGAGATAAAGAGCAATTCATCTCACGGTAGGGAAGGCTATATAGATAAAACTGCTTCCCGGAGAGGCTGAAAAGAGCAGCGAAGGGGAAGGTGGTGGGAGAGCAAAGGGCACGAGTTCGAGTTTCCACAGTACCCTTAAGGCCTTGGCGCCCTCTCTCTCTCCCTGGCCTACCTCACAGGGCTGTTGGGTAAGGATATATATCCAGGTGGGGCAGAGCCACAAAGGATTGCCTCACACTCCTTAAAGGTAAGAGATAAGCATAAAATATAACAAATAAATGCCAGACACACCAATCTCTACATCTGTCTAAGCTAAAACTGGAGTGTATGCTGGACTACAACTCCCACCATCCACCCACCCACCTGCCCCTTGGAGGGGGAACGATGGGAATGGTTGCCCAGCCCCTTTGTGTCAGATTGCAGGCCGTTGGCTTGAGCGAGGGGCTTCTACAGGTAGATGTTCTTGGACAACACATCCCATGTGTCTTGACATTGGCTGTGTCGGCTAGGGCTTCTGGGAGTTGTGGTCCCACTGCAGGCGGGGGTAGAGTTACACATCAACACAAAGTTCCACTCTACCGACGTTCAGCTCAAGCCCCCCCCACGAAGGGCAGTGTGGTGCAGTGGGTAAAGTATTCTGGAACCTGGGTTCAAATCTCGCAACAGACCCATACTCTCTTTTAGTCCCAAACCTCCCTCGCAGGGGTGTTGGTGGGAGAGAAAGAACAGCAGGATTTATTTTCACTTTTACAAGTTTCTCGGGAGAAAAGAAAACAGAAACAGAAAACCAAGCTGTCTTGAGGCGAGCAAAGGGGGACCAAACCGCAAGCCTCAGTTTCCCCATCTTTTTCTGGAGGCTTAACCCCAAGTTTTACACAGCTATACCATCTCCTTCCCTTCAATGCCTCTAATAGGCTTAAGCTCTTAAAAAAAATTAAAACATCACATTTTGAAAGCCACCCACCTGCCCTAAACCAGGCACCCTTCAAACGCCACCCTAAAAAGCTTACCTATTGCAGATTTTAATCAATTAATTGATTAGGCTTCTATAACTACCCCCCATCAGCCTTTTGTTTAGGAGAAAGAAGAGTTTTAAAATATTTTAAAGAATAAATAAAGAGAGTAAATCAGCACATCAACAAATAAATAATAAATCCCACCCACTCAAGAAAAAAAAGCCGATTTCTTCGGGGTATTTCTGCCCTCCCAAAAGATGCCTTTTCATTCGTCTTCTCATTAATAAAAATTAATAAAATTTCAGGCATTTCCGCACTTTTCCTTCCTCCCCCATCCTCCTCTCCCCATCTCATTTTCAATTGGGGGGGAGAAAAATCCCAGGTTCCAAAAATGCCAGCGTTTCTCGCCCCAAGTCCTTTTCTGTTGCAAAATAAGTCACCCCGGAAAAAAAAAGAAATAACAACGAAAACCTGTCGCCGCTCCGTTACCTGTCTCCGCGGCAGGAGAACGTCAGCAAATGAAACCAGCGGGCGCCGCGTGGAGCAGCCTTGCCCTTTTAAGAGCAGGGAGGGGCCCGGCGGGACAGGGGAGCGAGGGGCGTGGCCGGCCCCACCCTGCTCCGCGGATTGGCCGGAGGAGTTGGGGAAGGCGTGTCCCGCGGCGGATTCCCAGCGTGGACGTTCGGAGCAGAGGCGAAAGGCACGCTCTCCTCCATTCATCAGCTGAGACGAGGCCACGCCCCTCCCCGGAAACCTCCGGTCATTGATCCCGCGGCGAGCCCCCATTCACAGGGGGGAAAAAAATAGAAGGCGGGAACCGGGTCGAGGTTGGGATGGTTTAATGAGGTTTCCCGAATCAATTAATTAGTATTTACCGGTCCCAGTGCCTCGGTGAAGTGTTCAGTATGAAAACTGCAATGGGAAGGGCTCGTGGGTGGGGACCAAAAGGGGTGCAAAGCAAGGGAAGGAAAAACAGGAGGTGCCAGAGAGGCTGCATAAAGCAGGCCTGCGGAACTCCTCGCCACAGGATGCAAAGTTGGGGATGGGCAGGCAGATTTTTGGAAAAGGTTGGACTTACGGGGGTTTTCATGAGCCGTAGAAGACCAAGGCCCCATGCAGAGCAGGATGGGAAGAAAAGCTGGAAGAACAAGGAGCGTCCTCTCCAAAAAGGACTTCATGCTGCAACATTTAGCTGCAGAGCCCTGTTAAGAAGGTTACATGGAAAAGGAGGCTGTGTGCTAGAACCGGCATGAGAGGGTTGACAAGATATGGGGCAGTATGTGGGTTTTGTTTTTGTTTTTGGCAAGGGGAGTAGGTTGGCAAGATCCCTCTGTCCCCTCCCTAGGCAGCCTTGCCAGGATGATGGGCATTGGAGTCACAAGACACAGCCGACCCTCAAAAGAGGGCAGATCAGGCAACCCAATTTTTTGGGGGGGGACACCACCCCACCCTTACCTGAAACTGAACTGGACAGGGTTCCCCCTTGATCTGACGCAGTCCAAAGCTGAGCCGAGGTGGGTGTGTGGGTGAGGGAAGCGGGGCTGAAAACGGGGCAGGATCGGGGGGGGGGGGAGATCAAAGGAAGAAAAACACCACATTGCAACGCACACATGGTTGTGACTCGCGGCTTTATTTCACGTTTTCTTTTTTTCCTTTTTTCCTATAAAACTCCTCCATAAATCTCACAAGTTCAACCAAAACAAACAAAAAAGGAGCATAAAATTCAGGACAGAAAAAACGATCCCATAACTTATTACAAACATGTAAACCCCCCTTTCCTCCCCCAGTCCCCCCCTTTTTTTCCTTAGGCTTCCTCTTTTTTTTTTAAACCACAGGCCTGGGGAGGGGCAAGGAGGGGGGCAGCTTTCGCAAACCCCCTCCCCTCGAAATGGCGTCGAACATCTTTCTAATACACTGGCCAGGTATTTAATACCTTTGCTTCCAGCGGAACGGAGCCGGTGACGAAAGGATGAACCCATCCTACCCCACCCCACCCCGCACGAGAGAAGATTTTAAAGTATTCGGTCACCACCTCCTAAGAGTGCAAACTTTTTTTCTTCAAGGCCTAAAAGGTCCTGGAGCTCCAGGACCGCCGACCGACTGCCCCTCCTTCCAATCAACACCTACTGAAACTTAACGAGTTAAGAGACTCGTTACGAGACTCACATCATGCATACTTTTTTTTGCAAGAAAAAGGGGCGTTTCGCAAAATACTGCAACCTGTACATGCCATAATACACACATTAAAAAACATGGGTGAAACTGTGGAGCGGCTCACAACGGCCTGTTTTGTGAGGACTTGGACGAACCTCTTTGGGTTTAATGTCTCGCCAGGGAATCCCCACCCACCAGCAACGTTAAGGACTAGCAACCTGGCTGAGTTTTAAAAGAAGGAGGGGGGAAGTCTCAAGACACTCAGAAAGACAGGGAAGTTTATTCCTCCCCATTTGTGGATGGATGAAATGCTGGACCCAAAGAATGGAAGCAAAGAGGAACCTGCTGGTTTTTGTTTTAACCGCGCATGAGATTTTTATGGCAGGTCTGGCCAAAACCCATTCAAATCCTATTATAAATCGGCCACCTTAGGCATCTCTTCTCCCGCTGGGTCGCGCACGGAGTCGGGTTGAAAGACACAGAACTGGAAACGGACTGGAAAAGAACTTTTGAGGCCGGAGGTCCGGGAAAGAAGCGGGGCTTGGTTTAAAGTCTAGGAGAAAACCAATGGGTTTTCCCCAGCCAGTTCCCCCAATGTGGCCAAGCCTCGATGGCTTAAGATGGGGCAGAGGAGCTTGGAGGGCGCTGCTCCGTTTGGCTCAGGCCCCCGTCGATGCCCTTCCTGGAATCCATGGCCGGGAAGGCAGCTTCCCACCAGAGGCCAAAAAGACAGATGGTGTGGCCAGGGAAATTCCAGCAAAATGAAGGTAAAGCCGGGAGAACTCATGGGTGGGTGGATGGAGGAATACGGGAGAAGTTAAAACAAAAATCCCCCTACACAGTACCGACTTTCGGGTAATATTTTCCTCTCGGCAACAAAAATGATGTTCGCTGGGCACAGTGGACGATCCCTCTGGGTGCTTCCCCAAGAGGCAGCCTGATTCCTTCCAGGTCTTAGTTTTTAACTCTGTCCTGTCTATTCTGATGGCGTTGTGGGTTTGGGGTTTTATTTTACTGGTCCTGGATGAGAGCTGGGAAAAAGGGTTACAGAGAGGGTGCCCCTCAGCAAACGAAGCCCTGCCGTTGCCAGGCCTGGTTTGGCCTGGCTTTGGTTGCCTGAGGCCAAGAGGAGTGGGAAAGTCCTGTCCGGATCCCAGCGGCAAAAGGGGAGGGGGTGTTTTGGCCACCGTACTTTAGGGGGCTATTTGCCCCATAAGGGAGGAAATCACCTCCCTTCCAAGTGGCGCTTGCCAAACGAAAAGAGAGGCTCACCCCTGTAAGCGGCTAGTCCACGGTTCTTTTTAACCTGCCCCCCCCCATCTGTATACTGCTTTGTTAAATCTTTAGATCACACAGACAGCTGGGAAATCACTAGGGATTGTAACGGACGGGCTCAGGCGGGAGCCCCTGCTCGCCTCTGTGCGCGAGTAAAACGGAAAGAACGCAGGGGGGATGCCAAACGGCATTCCACTTTCTATGCCAACTTCTTCCACTTTCTTAAAACAACATTATTGCTTTTTTTAAAAATCCCCCCCCATACGTCCCGCAATTTCCCCTTTCTAAAAACACCACCAGCATCCAAAAACCCCGAGGCGGGAGGAGACATGGCTGGGGTTTCCAAAATGTCACAACTACTCGAGAGGCATCGGTTTCCTCCCGGACTCACACTCCTTCTTCCTCTTGGGCCCGAATCCTCTCCCCCCCCCAAAAAAACCCCTTGGTAGAACTAAAATCACAGCTACTGAACAGCATGGGGTCAAGATATACAAGGAAGGGGAGATAATGCAAGAGAAAAAAAAGAGGACGGTCGTCGTTTCTGCTGAGTTCTAAACCCCGACGGGCATGTGTGGAGGAGAGAAAAATACACCACGGCTCGAGGCGGAAGATAAACCTGGACTGGCCCAACCAATTCCTGCAAAACAGAACTGTACCTCTCTTCGGAGATCGTTGGGGGGGGCAACAACAAGGAGGACTCACAAGCACAGCATCGAACCCAGGAAAGGCTCTACAGCCAGAAGAAAAAAGACAAGACCGCGAGGAAGGCGGAGGGATTTTTTTTGGGGGGGGGAGCGTGATCAAAGGTGGCGTTTGGGGTCCCAGCCCCACCAGGAAGCTTCTAACGCCTCTTAAGTTGAACACATAACAGAAAAGTGGGCGGGGAACCAGAAGCTGTGAGTTCGGTGGCCAGGAAGGGAATTTGTGTATGTTGCCACATTGGCTTTCAAAATCTGCAAGGATACACCCTTCTTGACCCCTTGCGTTTGGTCCCCCATCCCCAAAAAAGAAAAGAGTGGGGTACAGAAGGGGACAGGAGCGGGACATAGCCGCTTCCAAGGTTGTCTTTAGAGAGCACGCCCTCGAGATCCGAACTCGGCACAGAGGAAAAGCAGCCCCAGGCCAGCCAGACCAAACTAGTGCCAGGAAAAGGCCGCCCAGCAGCTTCAAGGACACTCTGCCCCATGCTTTCCCCCCACTGGGGTGGCGTGCTCTCCCCTTGAAGGTTTCACCGCCCCGAAGCATCGGGGCCAAGCGATAAGAGATCCCGGTGTCGCAAGACGTGGGCCCGGGAAATTGGCACTGCGGGCGGAGAGAGAGACCCGAGGTAAACAACCTCTGGACAGGTGGGAAGGGGGGTTGGAGCCGGGGGGGGGCGAGCAGGCAAGAGGGGGAAGAGGGCTCAGGAGGGAATTCTGAGATCAACCTGACCCCAATCTGGACAAGCCAATGGCCATACAGGTCTCTCTTTCGTCATAACACGGGCAGGATCAAATCAGAGGGGAGGGATCCAGAACTCCGTGCTTCCTATTGCTAAAATAAAATCTCCCAAACAAGACCCCGGAGAAGCCAGAGAGCTCTGAGCCCCTGGCTTTGGGAGATCCCGAGAAAATGCCATCAAAACCCCAAACCATGCCACCACCCCTAAAACACACAAACACGACCCAGCAATCCGGGAATATTTCACAAGGGTTTCTCCAAACAACCCTGCTGAACACTGGTATTTTTTTTCTTTAGCTTTTTTTTTAAACAAATGTGAAAGGACTGGATTAAAAACACCACAAAAAATACTAAAACCGGGGAACGGGAAGGTGGGAAGACTTTCTACTTGTATTAAATTAAACTTTCAGGCCTTCCCTTCCCCATAATCATCTGCTCAAATGCACCCAAGACATCAAGCAAGACAAGCACGGAATATTGACAAATATTCCAATAAGTGTCGCAGAGAAACAACCAGCTTGGGAGTTCGTGTTTCTCTTAGTGGGTTTTTTTTCCTTTTGTTCCTTTCTCCTTTATAAACAAAAAGACGACGAAAAAGCCACGACACAAAATAAGTCTCCGTGATTTAGCCGGTCTGTTCCTCGCTAAGCTGCTAGGACTAGAGCAAAGCAAAGCGATTTTTTTTGGGGGGGGGTTAGGGAGGTTCTGAGCAAGAACATCAAGACGGTCCTGCGATTTGGCAAAAAGGCGGATCTGAACACTGACGGTGGAAGAGATTTTGGTAAAAAAAAGACAGCCACTACAGACCAGTCCATTATCGGAGGATACTGACCCAGCTTTCAAGAGCTAAAAAACTGTCCCAAGAATATTTTGAACAACAACAAAAGAGAAACAAGTCAAAACCTTCTAACCCTTTCCATTCAGCCACTTTTGCTATTTCTCCCCACCCCCCCTTTAAAATACTAACACCCCATTCCCACCTCCCCAAAACACAAGACACCCCTCTGAGACTTCGAGACCCAATGAGGCCCTTCTTACACCATACATATATATAATATATATAGATAGATATAAAATAGACAGCGTAGAACGATGTAGTCCTTACAGTTAAGAGTAGATTTTTTTAAAAAAATGAGAAAAAGGAAGCCATGGCTTGGGGGGGAACAGATCCAAGGGTGCAAGTGCCAGAAAGCCAGGGAGGCTCCTTTTGAGGAGAGCGCAAATGTTCCCGGAAAACCTCTCCAGCCCCCGAAGGAGCAGGTTCAAGTCTCGCTTGGCGCCACTGGCTGAAATGTAGAAGGTTCAGGGTCTGGAAAGGTTCAGAAGCTACACAACCAACCCCCGTGGCAAAGGGGCACTCGGAGGCGTGTCTGAACCACGGCGCCACTCAAATCGGGGCTGATGTCTCTGGGTCAGTTCCGGGATTCGGTTGCCCTGATCTGGAGCAAGGGAGGGGGAAACGTCTCTTCCCGTAGCCGTCGGAGATGCGAAGGGGAAGGAGCCGGGAGAAACACCGAGGGTCCAAGCGGTCGGGTCGCAACGGCAAGTCCGGCGGGGAAAAGGATGGTTGGATTCAGCCTATGCTGAAATGTCTCAAAACACCCACAGGTTCTGAAAGTCTGTTTCTGAAAATTTTAGCTGATGTAAAAAAAAGACGAAGACGAGACCCACGAAGGCCATTGCCGGGGGGGGGAACGAGGATCCGAGCCCCCGCGGCGGCTCTACCAGTTCTGAGCGAGCTTGAGGACACGAGGACAGGAGCCAGAGAGGACCGGGGCTCAGCCGGGGACCGAGGAAAGAAGTGCAGCCGGCAGGCGTGTGGTCCGGGATCCCTAGAACGTAGCCGTAACCCCTAAGGCAGTGTTTCAGGCAAGTCAGGGCAGGGCGGGGGTAAGGCAGAGGCCGAGGTCCGTTTTCCTGGTACCAAACAGAGTGGGATCCTGGGAATTTTTATTTACTTTCCTCCTCTTTTTTTTTCCTTCTTCCTAAAACCAAAAAAAGAAAAAGAGAGAGAGAGAAAGAGAGAGAGAGAGAGAAAGAGAGGGAGAAAGAGAGAGAGAGAAGGAAGGGTTCTCCATCCCGCGGGCCCGAGGTCACGTGGCCACAGCTTCCAGATAACTCTGCAGCTTACGGACGGTAGTCTCGTCCAAAGAGAAGAGGTCAAAGTCAAAGGTGGTGTTGGTGACGTTGAAATGGCCGGTTTCCTCGATGAGGTTGACGATCTAGGCCGGGGGAGATGGGAAAGACCCGCCTGAGACAGGAGTCCCTCTGTGTGGACTGCCAGACCATCCCACAGCAGCAGGCTGACAGGGTTGGTTCCTTCCTTCCTTAATTAATTAATTCCTTCTACTCATCAGCAGATCCTTCCTTCCATCATTAATTCCTTCCTTCCTTCCACCCATCAGCAGATCCTTCCTTCCTTCCATCATTAATTCCTTCCTTCCTTCTATCCCTCATCAGCTCCTTCCTTCCTTCCATTGATCATTAATTCCTCCCATTCTTCCTTCTACCCATCATCAGCTCCTTCCTTCCTTCTACCCATCAGCACATCGTTCCTTGCTTGTTTCCATCATCAGATTCTTCCTTTCATCAACAGCTCTTTCCTTCCTTCCTAAATTTCGGCTTCCAGTTCCCTGGGGCAAAATCTTGTACTCTTTCTGAGGAACCTTCTCCCCAAGTTAGACCCTTGGCCAATTTCTGCCTGCCAGCCCCTGGCCCTCCAGGATTTTGGCCAAGGCTAATCCCTAGCTCGGCCTGGAGATGCTGAGCACGGAAACAGCAGCCTCCTCTGTGGGGCCTCAGACCTTCCACAGATCCGACACAAGCCAATGGGGTCCCCCCCACAGAAGTCCTACGAAGATCTGAATAAGGCCTGAGGCTTTTGTAAACATCCTACTCGCCACTCAGAAGCAGCGCGTTACCAGTAACGCTGTAATTCCCAACAAAGGAAGGTGTTTGCTTGGTATCACAGCCCACGTTTCCAAGCTACCAAGGCTCTAACAACAGTAACACAACTCTACTGAAAGTGAACAAACTGCTCTATAAAAATAGCCTTGTTTTATAAACAATCCGGTAAATGCATAAACAGACTTCCCTTATTTCTGCCCTGGGTGAAGAATGCAGAAGTGCATCTTTGGGACAAGGCGAAGCTTCCCTTAGATTTCCACCTTACACACACACACACACAAAAAGATACCAAGCGACCCCTTGTTTTACCTGCTGAAGCACGTTGCGTTCCCTTAAAGCCATCAGCCTCCGGTGGAGTTCCACTAGCTCGTCCGTGTAGGCCTTGGGGAAAAACAGGAAGAAACTGGTGAAGAGCCAACCTCTCTGCCTTGAGGTTTATGAAACCGGGAACAGCAAACAACGGAGGGGGCTCTGCGGGGAGAGGGGACTTCTGGGGAGCCTACGGCAGAGGCTGACAAACAGGCCAGCAGGGCGAGGAGGGCCCGAAAGACGGCTTGAGGAAGGGGGTGGAGGCCAGGGGTTGCCCTCCAGCCACCTCCTTGGCTCACGGGTGCAAGAGAGAACAGGCAAGCCCCAAAGGGAGGGTGTGGATTTCTGGCCCAGGGAGCAAAACGTCACAGCCAAAAATTAAAAATCAAAGTGGAAATGCAGTCTTTAAGAAAATGAAGCAGGGTCTGGGCCTCGTGCTGGCCCCAGATTCTGGCCTCGAGGAAGGGCAAGACCAGGGAGCCAGTCCCGGTCGGAAGAGGCCCTCCCGGAGGCGAGGCGCTCCTCCAGGCAGTTTTTCCCTCGGCTCCCCGAAAGGCCATTCCTTTCTGTCTGTCTGTCCCTGCCTCCCTCGCGATGCCTAAACAGCTCGTCCACCACGGAGGTACCTTATCGTAGGTTCCTTTCTTCAGAATCTTTTCCGGCTTGGTGCACGGCTCCGGGCTTTTCCGCCCTGGGACCTGGAAGCAGGGGGAAAGGGTCTCTTGATACACAGACACACACCCCAAACTGGTTCAAAGGGAGGGAGGGAACGAAAAACCCTCCAGTCCAAGCTGGAAGGGGGTGAATGGCCACCCCAGAGAGTCGGCCAGGAGGAAGCAAAAGAAACGCCTCATTGAGAGCCTCTCCTGGGCCTGAAATTACGGTTTTTGGAAACCCCCTTTCATGGGGTCCCTCAACTCAAGAAGGTTTGACCACAAGAGCCCTTTCTTTTTCAACAGGACTCTTGAACCGTTTGTCCTGGTTTGTCTGAGAGGTTTCTAGCCTGTGGAAGGAGCCTGCCCCATCCAGAGTACCGGGAAACCCACACAACCACTTACCTTGTTATTAGGAAGGGACAGTTTCTGGCTGGGAGGAGTCTCACGACTCGGAAGGCAGGAGTCGGTGCTGTTATCGCTGTCGCTGTCGCTGTGGCTGAGCCTGGTGGGGCAGAGAATCAGGAGGGTAAAATGAGGAAAGGGATCTTAAGACCCAGGTTCCCCAAAGCATTAAGCCCTGGGCCAGGAGGAAAGAATCTCTGTCTAACGGAGAAGAGGGGAAAAGGATGTCTAAGGGAAAGAATCTCTAAGGGAGAGAAGCAAGGCTGCCCCCACCTGGCGTCTCGGCTGACGGGGGTGGCCTTGATGGCCGTTTCCTCCCCGGAGGAGCTGTCGTCATCATCCGACTCTTCCGACTGCAGATCCTCCACCATGGAACGCAGGGGCCCTGAAAAGTCAAGACCCGGAGAAAGGCAGATTTTACAAACGGGTTGGTGACCGAGACAATTTAGGTATGGCCGCAAGCAGGGGAGAGTCAGGACAGTCCCCTGCCCAGTTTCTCTCCGGCCCCCGAACAGTTGGTGCCTGAGGGTCGCTGTTCTGTCCTGAACCTGAGCTCCCTTGGAACATTTAGATCAAGAAAGGGAATTCTCACAGAGTCCGGTGAGACCGTATTACCCTCTCGGTTACCCCAGAAGGCTTTCTAGACTTGGAAACAGCAACAGTGAGGGTGCCGCCACCCGCCCGCCAATCCCCGCTGGCGACAGACTAAACCCGAGAGGGTTGTGGGCCGAAGGGACGCCAAGACTCACGTGGGGGTCTCCAAACAGCAACGCACCTTGGCTGTGGTTCTGGGACGGCTCGAAATCAGAGTCGGAGCTGGAGTCAGAGCTGGAGCTTGAGTTAGAGGGGCTGGACGGGGCGGACTTCAGGCCCCACAAAAAATGGGAGAGGGAGAAAGAAAGGAAGAGAAAGACAACATTCATTGCCATGGTATGTATGTCAGAGAGACAGAGAGAGAGAGAGAGAGACTTTTTGTTCCTGCTCTTCTGAATCAGCACAAGCAAGAAAAGCCCCTCACCTCTGATTTCAGAGAGGCTTCTTCTTCCGAATTGGACTCCTCCGCCACAGACACCTCCAGAGGCTTCTTGATGGCCTTGGCCTCGGGTTCCGGCTTCACCTTTTCGGCTTTGGGGCCGAGTTTCTCCTTGGCCAGCTTCTTCTCGGCGTATGAGGCAGTCCGGGGGGAGGTGGCCGGGAGGCCCCCGCTTGCCTTGGCCGCCTTGGAGCTGCTCTTCTTGGGCTTCTTGGCGCTGAGCTTGGGCGACTCCACCGCCGGGGGCCTCTTGCCGGCCGGCTTCCCTTCTGGCCCTGGGGGGCCACCACCGCCTTTCGGGGACATGTTCTCTACTTTGGGCTCCTTGACGGCCAGCTTTGGCTCTTTGAAGGCGGCCTTCGGGAGCGGCTTCTCCTCTTTGGGTGGCTTGTTCTCTGCTGGTTTCCTGGAGGAGTCCTTGATGGCCTTACCTGGCTCTCGCTCGAGGTCTCGGGAAGAAGCTTTGCTCTCAGAGTCCTTCCTGGGCCGCTCGCGATGCTCCCGAGTGACCTTGTGTGGCTTGGAGGCCTTGCTTCCATCCTTGCCAGCCTCCTACATGAAAACAAAATAGGGGGAACGTGAGCAACAGCCATCTTGCGTTATTGTTATTTTACGTCCATCCGACTCTCTGTAACCGTTTGATCTTGCTGCAGCCTCTGGCTTGTGCAACAAACAAAACAGATATAGGCTTTAAACGAACTTTTTATTCCTTTGTTTCTTTTTTTCAAACGTGAAGACACAAGGTGAGACAGAACACCACTGAAAACGGCCTGCTAAAAACAGCACCAACGGTAGTATTTAAGCCACAATGAACCAAATGGCTCCTTCTCAATTGCGAATTTTAGAAACCCATTACAACCGCCAATCAAAGGAAAACAGCACACACACAATGCCATGCTCCACGCTTAAAAGCTTCTTCCTTGTTGCCAGTCGTTTAAACGAATTAGTTAAATACATCAAGTCCTGTAGAGAGGTCAAACCACTAGTACAGCAACATCCAAGGAAAGCTGGCAGACCTCAATGGAAAACGGCAGCTTCTGCAGCCCCCCCACACACTCACACACCATATCCAGGGGACTTACCTTTGACCCATGTGATGGTTTGGTCTTCTTGGGATCCGAAAAGGCGGAGAGCGGGATTGTGGGTAGCATGGGGTAGTCGGGACTGGGCCTAGAAACGGTCTCTGCGCCTTCTGGCATCACCATCACCTAAGAAGGAGTGTGGTGTTAGCAGTGGAAATTCAGGAGATTGGGTGATTGCGGTGATCGGCAAAAAAAATCAGGTGAACAGAAAACAAAAAACACGCTGATCACCACAATCGCCCAATCTCCTGAAAAGGACAAAAGCTGATCCCACAGCTATACATACTCAACTATCCAAACAAACTGCACCAGAGTGCAGACAGAGTTCTGACTCCCATCCTCTGAAGAGGCCGGCCACAGAGACTGGCGAAACATTAGGAAGGACCGCCTTCAGAACACTGCCAAAAAGCCCAAAAAACCTACAACCACCATCAGAACCCGGCCGTGAGACCCTTCGAGAATACGAAGGAAAGAGTTCTTTTAAAAAATCTTAATTTTAGCACAGCAGAGCTGGAAGAGACCCTCTGAATTATGGAGCCCTGCCCCTCAAACAGGCCCAGAGGGGAATCAAGCTGCCAGCCTTTGGCTCCACAGCCAGAGAGACTTCCGCCCCTGAGCTATCCCTCGCTTTTTCCTGTTTTTCATTCACTCTCCATCTAGTGTCTTATACATGGTGGCGCTGCGGGCTAAACCGCAGAAGCCTGTGCTGCAGGGTCAGAAGACCAGCAGTCGTAAGACCGAATCCACGCGACGGAGTGAGCTCCCGTCACTTGTTCCAGCTCCCGCCAACCTAGTGGTTCGAAAGCATGCAAATGCAAGTAGATAAATAGGGACCACCTCGGTGGGAAGGTAACAGCGTTCCGTGTCTAAGTCGCACTGGCCATGTGACCATGGAAGATTGTCTTCGGACAAAACGCTGGCTCTATGGCTTGGAAACGGGGATGAGCACCGCCCCCTAAAGTCGAACACGACTGGACAAAAATTGTCAAGGGGAACCTTTACCTTTACCTTACTCCTCTTAAGCTTTAACAAATCCAGGAAATTGAAGTATCTCTTGATCAGGGTGTGTGTGTGTGTGTGTCTTACTCTAAGTAAGAGCAAGAACCGAATGTCCTTGCAGAATTTCTGAGCACGGCCACCCCATTTTCCATGAAAGGCGCGGGGAGCCATGCGTCTTGGCCACTTACCCCTCCCGCCTTGATGAGTTTCCGCCGGAAATCCTTGGTGGGATTGTTAAAGGTCAGCTTCTCGCAGCGCAGGTGGTTGACGGGCGGGTTACCCTCCAGGTTTAGGAAGAGGTCGTAAGTAAAGCAGACTCTCTTGGGCTCCTCCTGAAGAGCAAAGAACGAGCCAAGTGGCAAAGACGCTTTGGCAGGACATCCTCATTGGGATGGAATTGGGGGGGGGAATGAACCATACCTTGTTTTTGAAGTGGACTTCGATGGGCATAATGAAGCCAGCGTACCCAGACTCCTCCACTTTATAGGGAGGCTCCTTGCAGACTTCGGGGGGTGGGGTGGGGGTGGAAATGGAAAGAAAAGCAGAAAACAGAAACAGCCTTAAATTCTAAGCACTTTCGGACCACGTAAGAAACAGGCATACAAGCGAGGGAGAACAAAGAAAGAGACTGGATAGTCCCTTGCTCCTTCTATCTGGCTCTGAAGTTTTTTTTAACAGCACTGTGGGGAAAAGAGGGGGCTTGATCCAGCACCAGGCTTCTCCTCATGTTTTCACGGTGAGGAGCCACCTATCTGCCCACAGAGGAGCTCAGGGGCTATCCTTTTCTGCGCCCGGCGCAACCAGGTGGGCTCACCTCGCTTCGGTTTTGGGAAACTCTGGTGCAGCCGAAAGACCACCCTCTCCACGAAGTGCTGGATCTCAAACTGCTCGGGGCCTCGCACAAACACCATCCAGTCGTGGGTGAAGCCCTCGGTGGTGGGCTTCTTGCGCAGCTGGGCCCGGTGCCCCAGTTCCAGCTTCACCTGGACGATGCACTAAGGGGTGGGGTGGGGGGAGAAAGGAGGCAAGGGAGCAAGGAGAGCCAAGGGAAGAAAATGAGCCTTAAAAAGCACTCATCGGGAGGATGAGACCACCGCCCTCCTGGTGCAGTATACCCGGTCGGGTCCACTCGGCTTAAGTATTTCGCTTGATCCCCTCGGTCTACCGCCAGATGGGGGTGAGAAAGCCAGGGGCTCCCATGGGGCGCTCCAGAGGTCACTGGTTTGGGTCTCTCTCTCCCTTCTTGACTCCTAGGGCCAGCGCGGTTAGAGGTCCAGAAGGGTGAGAGAGACCCAAAGAGCCACTGGTGACTCCCACCTGTGGCTTTTCAGCTGAGGCTCAGGAGGACCCTTTACGGCGCCAACATAGAACTGCCCCAAAAGAAGCATGCAGCCAAGAACAATAAACAGAAAAATCCATGGATGTGTTTTGTGCGCTTCTCTCAGAGAGATAGATAGAGAGAGAGAGAGACATGGCCTGAAGCCTCCTTGTGCTATGATGCAGCGGGATGGCAAATTACTGCATGTTATTCTCCAGATATAAAAGATGCAGGCAGATGGGCATTGTAATCACAAGTGGGTGTGGTTCATGATCCAGGCAGATGGGCATTGCAGTTGTGAGTAGGTGTGGTTCATGATCCAGGCAGATGGGCATTGTAGTCGCAAGCCTCTGGAAGGCATCAAGTCACCTCCTCCTCTCAGAATGGCCCACCCACTGCCTGGAAGCTCCTCCCCTCTGCAAGACACACCCCTGGCAAAAGGGACACGCCCCCTTTCTCCCTCAATGGAAGGGGAGAAAGCAACTCCTCACCCCCACCTTCCAGGGCTGGGAAGAAGACCCCTCCCCACAGAAAGGGGGCATGGAGAGCAGAAAGAGTCACATGCTACCCTAACCCAAATATGCCCGCCCACTATTTAAATCAGGGGGAGGGAGCAGAGGCACAAGGGACAGCAGAGAAGTTAGGAAAGGAAAATCCAGGCCCCACCCTCCTGCAGGAAGCCCCGCCCCCACCACGGGTGGGCGTGGCCCTTCCTAGAGCCCCACCCCCTCGCCGCGAAAGAGGGGCGTGGCCCTTCCATCCTTCTCCAAGAGGATTCTTAGCCCCGCCCGGACACTCAGGCCACGCCCCCTCTGATAGGCGGGTGGGCGTGGCTCGGCGCGCGTTCCAAGAGAGCCAAGTCCCGCCCCCCTCGGCGGGAAGCCCCGCCCCGCCCTCCTCCTCCTCCTCCTCCCCTCACCTGGTTGTCCATGGTTGGGCCCGCCCGCCTCGTTTTTTCCCCGCTCTCGCTCTGGCGGGCCCTGCTCGCCCTAAGGCCGCGGAGGAGTTTCGGGCCTGCTCGGGCTCCCCCTCAGGGCCGCCCAGGGGGCCGCTGGTGCTGCTTCTCCTGCGGCCGCCGCCCCCGCCCCCTCATGGCTCGGGGCCCGCCTGGCTCCTCCGCGGAGGCGACCCGGCCCCCCTCCGAGTCTCCCTTTCGCTTCGCCGCCTCACCGGAAGCGGAAGTGGGGCCCCTCCTTCCACTCCTCTCGGTCGCCCTCTCGTCGTCCGAACGGGAGGGAGGCAGGGAGGCCGGCGATCGGACGGACGGGCGGGCGGAGCGTCCAATAGGGGCGCCCCAGGCGGCGGCGGCTCCGCCAATGGCCGCGGCAGGTGGGCGGGACGACTGCTGCGGCTGGCGAAGGGAGACGAAGGGCCAATGAGGGAGAAAAGGCTGGACGGGGCCGCGTTGCCAGGGTGACGGGAGTGCGCGCGCGAGGGAGCCGGCGCGCCTGCGCGGGCCGCCCGTTCACAGTCGCTCAAAGGGAACGTAGGGGGGAATGGGCGCGCTAGTCCTCAGTGAGGCGCGAATTGCCTTTCTGGACTAGAACTCCCAGAATGCACCCCCGAACATGTCTAGTAATACATCCTGTTTAGCTATTTAATACAATTTGTTGGCCCCTTTTCTTACCTCAAAAACAAAAATCTATCGAGATATGCTCAGAGGCACTGTTGTATTATATTACAGTAACTGATAATGGCAGAGTTTCATTCCATGTCACCCATTGCAAATGCAGGACATCATGCAGGGAAAAGGTTCTAGAATAAAAGTTCCCAGAGACCTCTGTGTGTATGTGTGTGGTAAACCACAATCCCCATTCTCCACATCTTTCCCAAACTCACATTGACACCAGGGGCTGGAAAGTGCAAGGCTTATTGGACACCCTCATTATTTTCATAAAAATCAGAGTGCACCCAAGCCCGTGAGTTTTTTCCACACACCGTGTCTTTCCTGTTCCACTCCGATAACCATCATGCACAGAAACCCACACCCTGAGTCTCTGCAGCCGATGCAGCTCCCCCAAAAGTGCATTTTAAACCCATGAGGCCTCATGCCAAATAGGCTTCTAAGCCTGAAAATGTAACATACAAGCCTCCACGATGCTAATAACATTTGTTTCCTATTATCATTATTCTTATTAGTATTCGCATTATTGGCATGGAGGAAGACTTAAGCAAGCCTCCAAGGCATATCGAGTCTGAATGCAGCACAAATGTTGCAGAAGAAGGAATTCTAATCCCGGTGGGGGGAATAGAGTTACTCGAGATGCTTAATTTCTAAATACAAGGAGCTCCTCCGGTTTGGCTTGGCTTTCTTAAAGACCAAGGCCAGAACTGGCAAACATGACCCCAACCCTCTCAAACTACAGAATAAACTTTATTTCCTTAGTTCAGTGACAAAATCCCCTTTAAATACCAAAAAGCCATCTTCTGGGGCACATGGGCCAAAGCCCAGTAAGAACTCAAAGGCAGAAAGGAGGGGGTGAAATTATGTTTTGGACTTTGCTTGAGGGATTTTTGGTTCCCAGTGGCACAAAAAGAAATAATCTGGACTTCTGTTCCCTTGCGGCCGTGCGTAGAGAGCTGCCTTCTCTCTCTCGTTCTGTAAGACACATATTTTCCAAAAGTTCCTTTCTGGGGGACTAAAAGTTTCTTGAATCTGGCAAATGAGAACAGTAAAGCAACTGGAAGATCACTTTCAATGAGAAACTTCATGAGGCTGGGAATTTCTTGGCTGGAGAGGCTGGCTGAGAAAGAAATGCTAAAGCAAATGAATAAAAAACCAAGAAACCACACAGCTGATGGAATGCAGGAAGCATCAAAATAACTTCCGGCGTATAGACGGCAGCAGCTGAATATTAGGGGGCAGAATTAATAAGGAAGGAAAGGCATGAAAATAGACAGAACTTTTTGCCAGGAGAGAAGATCAGCCTCACAGATCAAGCGGATGCTGTCCTGGTTTTGGGCATGACAGACGGAAGCAGAGAAGGGGAAACTTCAAAAACCTCTCAGCTGTGGAGATACCAGAACATTTCAGATTTGGTGGAGAGAATGGGACTTTGCAGGCGGCGATCCACGAAGGAGGAGGAAGCCGGCCAGCCTTCTGGAAATGTTTAAGAAAAATGGGATCCATTACAGAGCCAGCCAACTTAAAAATAGATTTTTTTTATTATTGTTATGTTGTTAGAAAGCCAAAGAGCAAAGGATGTGTCCATGAACCTCCCAAGCGGACCCCAGCGCTTCCTCACAGCCTGTTGTCCATGACGGGTGGGCGGAGGGGTCCTACTTGTACGAATTTGCTTTGTGTTTTGGCAAGAAGGTAAAGTTGGCCGGGACCGGACCCAGAAGCATCTCGCTGGAGGGTGGAAGGGAAAGAGAGAGAAACACCATTTTCAGTGAAAAAAAGAGAGCCAAGATGGAGATTTGATTCTTTTTTTTAGTACCTGAGAACTCGGCCAGAGAGAAACCACAGATTTCTCCTTTACAGGCTGAGGAACCCACATGGAAAAAAACCCCACAAGGTTCGTTATAAACAAGAAAGGATCTTATGACACTGTGAAGATCCACAGAGCACTCTTTTATTAATTACTGCTAATACGGGTTTGGGGGAGATGAAAATCTTTTAAAATGCAAAGATATGTCCTTAAGTGTTTTGGGGACACGGTTAGTTCTGTCCCGGGCTCTGCAGGACAAGGCTGAAGGAAATGGGCCGGACTACAACACCCATCAGCCATGGATAAACCTTGCCGATGGCTGCACCCTCTCCAGTGTGAGATGTAAAGGACTTCCCGTTTCCAAAAGTCTCCCAGTGAGCTGAGCCCCTTTTTGTACCTGATCTTGATCCAGTCTCCCACATTCTGGCTGGCCATCAGAGTCTCCAGGTAGTCTCGGCCCAGGTAGTAAGGGGGTCGCTCATTGATCCTCTGGGGCAGGTGCTCCAGTAAGCCGGTTGGGATGTACCTAGAGATCAAGGGGGGAAAAGAGCAGGACTGGTTCCTTTCGGGGCTGTCATTTTTAAAAAATTATTTATGAACACTGATAAAGGGATGAGGTTGAGACGCATCAAAGTGCAAAGGTATCCAATATAACGTACTCCCTACACAACTATCTACGTGGCCCAAGAAAAAAAGCTGGAATATACAGGGGAAACTGTGATTCTTCAAAGGGATGCTTAAGCACGGATGTAAAGCCTTGAAGTAGAATGGAGCAATCCAGCCGCTTGTGTGTTTACAAAACCCATCAGCCTTTGCCATGGACAGGATAATGGGGGTCATTTATGCACCCTTGAAAGCATCTGGAAGTTCAAAGCATCTACTTGAACACGCCCCAGACGGCCAGACGCTTTCAGGATGTGTGATCAAAAGCACATGTAATATTCCTGGGCAGGGAGTTCCACCGTCCAGCTGGGACCCTGTGCAGAGGAGCAAAGAGGAGCCCCCGGGGAGAGGCTTACCTGCACATGAACGAGAGCCACTCTAGCAGGAACCTCCTGGTCCTCTCTACGCCCATCGTGTCCGAACCCCAGTGCTCCAGACCATACCGGGTATAATCTTTAAGGATTTCCAGCCTCTCGGCCGAGGAGATGTCCCAATGACGCTGCTCTTTGATTTCGGTGAAGATCCAAGGTTTGATCAGGGCCCCCCTGTGGCCAGAGGGGGAGAGCAGAATGACCACTAGGACGGGGGGGGGAGGGAGGGAAACAAAGAACCGCCAATATTGTGGGGGTATGTGTGTCAAAGCTAAGAACATCTGGAGGTGGACCCCTGCCCTCCCCACATCACACCAGGAGGAAAAGCCACTTGCCTGGCGATCATAATGCCCGAAACGCCGGTCTCTGTAGCACGACGGGCGTCTTCGAAAGAGAATATGTCCCCGTTTCCTAGGTAGGAATCAAGACACCTGTGTGTCATACTCTCAGCTGAATGGTCATAAAAGGGAACGCAAGACGGAGACGGATCCATGGATCCCTTGGGGTTCTTCTCATACCTCTTGCAAGCAAACTGGTTTAAGAAGCCCCCCGGGGGAAAAAAGGGCCAGGGAAGCACCCCAGCCGCCAAGGAGTGGGGACATTACGGCCAATGCCAGTGACAGTCTTTCTTGAACCTGTCCTGCGCCCAAGCCCACAGAGGAAGTCGAAAGGGGGGGGCTCGCGTGCCAACAGAAGGTGCAGTCTTGGGGGGCCTCATTCAGTGCAAAGGGAAGCGAGGGGATGGAGGGAAACCTGCACCCACGAGCCAGGACACGGGTGGATCCCGAAACACCCACCGAAAAGAGGCATCGGGTTGGCGATTTTGGCACACTCGGCGATGTAGTCCCAGTCCGCCACCTTGGTGTACCTCTGCTCTCTCGACCGGCCGTGTAGCTGCAAAGAGAGAGAGAGAGACGCTTTCAGGCTCCCCGAGGATCGCAAAATGGGACCGTATTCTGGGGAGGTTTTAACCTGGGGGAAGCGGGCAGCCCAGCCATGGGCGCTGGGAAATTTCCGGAGTGGTACGGTCAGTCAAATTAGTTTCTAACCCCTGCCCATCATCTCTGGTGATGGGGGGAGGGGTGCTGTGGCTAGACCAGGACTCGGGAGACCCACGTTCAAATCCCCACTTGGCCATGAAGCTCGTTGAAGGACGTTGGGAGGGTCACTCTCTCCCAGCCCAGAAGACCCCCTGAAGACGGAAGAAGGCCTAAATAACCGTCCTTCCGCCATGTTCTAAGTGGAAGCAGCGCAGGAAAATATAAAAACAACAATAATCCAGGCTACACAACCGAGAGCATACCGTGACTAAAGACACTCCCCAGTCCCGGAGGCTTGGGATGATTTTATGAGCCAGGTTGGTCTTCTCGTGCACCCCGGTCCGGATTTTGACAGTCAACGGAGCATCTAATACCTGGAGAAAGGATTGAGTTTTAGTCATTTCTAGAAGGGATCCATTCCCCTACCATGCGAGGTTGCAGGATCCGTTCCCAGGGACGGCTGGGGAGGGACCCTTCCCAAAGACCCGGGCAGCCATGGGCAGCCATGGGCAACCTGGAACCATGAGGACTAGGGCCCTTAAAGAGTTTGAGAGGAAGGGCCGATATCGTAGCGGGAGGACTCTTGTTCCTACGTTCCCTACAGAACTGACTGAACCCTCTTTGGGGGTAAAGGCAGCTGCACACACCCAGAGAAACCCGCGTCCCACCCCCACCCACCTACGGTCGAACTTACGTAGTTCATGCCTCGGACGATAGCTTCTAATTTATTCACCCGGTTCATTAAGGCACAGCCTCCGCCCTGAGAAAAAACAAGGAGGGAAGAAATTAACCATCCCCTTCTGCAAAAACAGAACCCAAGGGGTTATTTCCAGAAAGATCCTGAAACGCCTGGAGCCCGACCGAGACTTAGATATTCCTGTTCTGGGTGTCTCTTTCCAGGCCCCAAGACCACAGAGTTTGGGATGGGTGGGTGGGTTTTTCTTTTTCTACAGGGACGATGGCACTCGGGAGGCTCTGAGTTGTTGGCTACCTTGTTGTAGACGAGGTCAATGGGGCAGCCCACGTTGACATCTACAAAATCCACCTCGATCGTCTTGTTCAGAAGCTCCGCGCATCTGGTCATCGTATCCGGAAAGGCTCCTTCCAGCTGCAAAAAAAAGGGGGGGAGGACAGGATGGTTGGGGAGGGGTGTCGAGAGAGGCACTGGGCTCAAAACTCACCAAGTGCATGGCTCAATAAAAAGCCATGGCTTTTCGTCCACTGCGTCTGAGCCTCCCGACGCCGCCCCGGGGGCCCGTTACCTGAACACCGAAGAGGTCCTCCGTGTGGTGGCGCTTCAGCAGGGCCCACTCCGACGACTGGCCCTGAAGGAGGTTGGTGCACATGGCCATCTCCCCGCAGGTGACGTCCGCCCCGTAGCGCTTGCAGATCCTCCGGAAAGGGAGGTTGCCACACTGATAGGCCAGAAGAAGAGAGACGGAGAGGGAAGCAGGACAGAAACCCCAAAGCGCCGCCACCGCCTCCCTTCCTGGCGTGAATCTTTTCAGCATGCAAGATCAGATTTCACAGCAGCAAAAAAAAAACTTAAAACAGCCTGCTCCTGGCTAGGCTGACTGAGAGCAGATTCCATAGCAGCAAAAAAACCTAAATCAGCCTGCTCCTGGCTAGGCTGACTGAGAGATTCTGGCAATTAAAATCCAGAAGGTAACTCGTCTGAGCTCTGATCTGGGCAAGTATTTTGACCGTCTGATTTTGTTCAATGCAGAGAAGTGCAAGTATTCTTTGTTCAATCAAACCTGGATTACCTGATGGCTTGTACTCTGCTCTTTTCTTTCAGGCGGGGGGCAAAGTGGTGGTGGGGGAAGGGAACAGCTACCTGATTTTTGCAAACCATGGAGGTTCCAGAATAAAAGACAACAAAGAAGAGCTGAGTGTCCCTCTCGGACTTTGCCACCTCCCATTTCTTTGGCTTCCCTCAAGATCCACCCAACAACCAGGCTGCTATTCGGCATTTCTCTCCAGCTTAGGAAAAAAAATGCGCACACGGGTGACATGCAGGGCAAAGAACTTACGGTGGTTAAAGGCGCCAAGTAAAGCTTGCCATTGAGGTCCAACTGGAAGAGAGAAGCAGAAAGAGGAGAAAGAGAAAAGATGAGGAACGGATCAATTTCGGGTGCCGTAAAAGACCGTCTGCTTTTCCTCTCAAGCGACTGGGAGCAGGAAAGGCCCGGCCTGACCGAGGAGGCCGCAGTGGGCTGGAGACCAAACCATCAGACTCGCCGTCCAGCCGCTTCAGTTCCGTCCTGAGCCTCTGAAATCTAGAAATGGTTTTAGGAAGGATTCTCTTGCCCATTTCCAACACAACCCTTCCCTCCACCTCACCTTCCGCTTCTCACACGGTCTCAGCCTCACGAGGTCTTCATCCGTCACAGCGCCGACTCGCTTGGGAATCGGCTCAGACGGTGCCGCCACCGAGCTTGGGTTCTCCGCGGCTCCCAACGCAGGATCTCCATCCTGGGATAAGCGGGCGACATCCACGACCTCCTCGGTGGCACCGTCGAGACCCACCCTTCCTGCCAAGTCCGCGGCCTCCGCCTCTCCCCCTCCTTTGCTCCCAGCCCCCTTGATGTGGTTGCGCTTGGCGAGGCGGTTAAGATACTCCCGCGAGGCCTCAAAAGAGAATTTCTTTTTCCGCAGCTCCCGCTGGAGGTCTTTGCTCAGGTGATTCTTCACCAACGTTTTACCTTCCCACTGTTTCAAAAGATCAGGGTTAACCAGGTTCTCGAAATCCTCTCCCAAGTGGGCACCCGCAAAGCGGCAGGTGGCCCCGTAGTTGCAGCGGCCGAACGTCTCGTAAAGCACACACCGCTCGCCGAGGTCCGGCGGCTTGGTAGCCAGGTATTCCTTGACGTCGTGGAGGAAGCGGCACCGGGGACCGACGAAACATTTCTCCCCACGTTCCTTCAAGGGAGGATTAAGATAAGGAGGGATGACCTGGTTGATTTGGCAGCTCGTCCCCTCCGAGAACCCACAAGGTGGCCCCGGGAAGCATCCCCACAGATTCTCGAGCAGGTTTACACAAAGGAGAGGAACTCCCAGACGAACATCAGAAGGGCAGTGTCATGGGCACACCCTCAACCTGTCGAAATCTGGATTCACACCCACCCATCCTTTTACCTGGACAATGGAGAGACACAAGCGGTGCTTCTCGTAATCCGTTGGCTTCACGCGTGGCCGGCTCTTGTTCTGCCCACGGGCCCTCTTCCCTTTCGGCCCAGTCGCTTCTTTGCCAGGCCCTTCGGGAGGCGCTTTGTCCTGGTCCTCTTCCAGCTTCTGGAGTTTGGCAGGAGGTTCAGATGGGTCTCCGGCCGCATCCCTCTCAACATCCTCATCACCGTCTTCGTCAGGCAGTGGCTCTCCTTCCCGGTCGAGGTAGGCGTGGAATTCTTCTTTGGTCGAAAGATATCTGGAAGGAAGACAGGTTGTTGTTTTTTTAAACTTGCGGAAAAGAGCTGTCAAGGATCTGGGTGGGTGTCACCGTCACAGACAACCAGATTTTTCTTTTCCCAGTGCACCACTGCACTTAAGGGAATCAGTTGCAAGCCTTTTCAGGGGTTGTTTGATGCACAGAGTCATATAACGGAGAAAATTCCAAGAGGGAAAACACCCCTGATAGGCGGGCGGAACAGATAGCCGATCTGAACAACTACACAGTTTTTTTTATTTTTGCATTTATATCTGGCTTTTCTGAAATCGGCTATCTATTCCACCCAAAACAGGGGCGCCTCAGGGTTGCTGCACCACTCGGAGCATCACAACAAGCAGATACTGCCTCCCTGTTCCTTTCCTCTTGGCGCTCAATGGGTCTGATTTGAGCTGTCATTTGGGACCAGCTTCCCACTGATTTAAACCATTGCCTTCCCCTTGATGGCTCTTTACCCGCTCAGTCTCTGGAGGTTGTAGAATCTCTTGCTATAAGAAATCTGAGGCACTTCCTGCCCATGGGGGTCATTTCGCTAGCCCTATGTAATTTGACTTACTTAATTTATAATTTATAATCTATTTAATTTATAACTTAAATCTCTACATTATAATTTAATTTATCTCATTTCCCATTGAATTTATTATTTATTTAAATTATCCATATAATTTATAAGGACACTATGGGGGAAGG